GATGAATAAAAGGAGAAGACATTAATAATGTTAATATATATATATATATATATATATATATATATATATATATTGCTGCTCCTTGGTATCTATTATAATAGTTATTATTGCTGTTTATTATTATGAATATTATATATATATATAAATATAAGCATCAGTATCTCCTCTAATCTCTCGTAGGTGTAGGAATGTATATATATACCGCTTGCGGTGTATATACACCTCGAGATGAAGTAATGTTTATAGGCACTTCAATTGCTTAGAGGCAAACGAAGTGTTCTATGGATATCGGAGATATCTAAGACAAAGACTATTATAATATCTGCAGTATATTTATCTGTTTATTTCTATGTATTTATATACAACGATACGCACATAGTACAGAGCTTGTTTACCTATAGATGAGCTTGCTTATACATGCAGATGCATACATTAGTATATATATATATATATATATTAGCATAGACAGTCTATATCTAGTGGAGTCTGTAGAATAGAGGGGGAGAGGGTAGAAGGCTATAGTTTTTGTTCTTAGACAGCAGTTGCTTTTCTTTAGAGTGAAGATAATATAGCAGCAACAGAGAAGAATAAAGTAATTGACGAAGGACCCAGAGGTCTAACATATTGCTACTACCTCTACACACACACAGAAAAAAGAAAATTTAAGCTGCGGTGTACGCATAAGTTGAGGTGTATGTACACCTCACGAGTCTAAGGGGGGTTGGGATGCGGAGGAGAAACAAAATAAAGTATTCAGAAATAAATAGAAGACTTTATATGAGCAATAATGCTTTAAATTTAAATAATAAATTGAAATAAATAAATAAATTAAAAGGAGAGAAGCCTTTTGCTGCTGCGAGGTGTCTATACACCTGAGAGATGTTGTATTCGTTCTGTTAGCTCTAATGCAATATACCATTAAAATATGAAGAGTAAATAAAAAGTTTGCATTTTATTAATTTTATTTTTATTTTCTTTCTTTTTTTTAAATTAATCTTCTGTATACAGTGCGGGGCTGTGCATGCAGCTACCCGCTGTTGCTCTTCTCGTTGTGTTGGAGTTTGTTTGAAGTTTTTCAGAGTTTTTGTGTGTAAATTAATATCTTTAATATAAATATTTGAATTGATATTGCTCATTATTAAGGATATTCCTTCGTTTTTACCCTTGGGGGTTCTCCCCTCCTACCTGTTCTTACTGTTCAAAGATATGCGGTTGAGGTGTATGTACACCTCAGATAACCGCTAGACTTCTGCATTAGCCTTCGCCTTCATTTCGTCCTGCACTGTCATCACACCATGGGGAAGCTTGTGGTGAGGGTTTTCTACCAAGGGTTTAGGGTTTAGGGTTTAGGGTTTAGGGTTTAGGGTGGTAACGAAGACAAGGATAGAGCTGCTGTTATTTAAATGCAATCGAAGCAATATTTTAACAAGTTGTATTTATGTTTAAGCAAACAATATCATACTGTCTTTCTCCTCATTCGCCTGTCTCCTAGGCGTAATCCCTAGCTGAAGCAAACACGAGCCAAACTGCAGCAGCAGCAGCAGCAGCAGCAACAGCAGCAGCAGCAGCAGCAGCAGCAGCAGCAACAGCAGTAGCAGCAGCAGCAGCAGCAACAACAACAACAACAACAACAGCAGCAGCAGCAGCTCTTCTTCGTTGTTGTAATTCGTATTATTTGATCGCTCTGTGTGTTGTGCGCGTTATTGCTGCTTCATCTCCATTCAGCACATTACCCTAATTAATTAATTAATTAATTAATTAACTAACTAATTAATTAATTAATTAATTAATGTGGATAATATGCATGCAAATGATTTGCTGCTGCTTTATGCAGGTGCCCTCTGATATAACGCTGCTGGAGCAGCAGCAGCAAACAGGTGTACGCCGTTTAAAACTTCTTGAGCGTTTAGGTTTATTCTTTTGCCCTCCTATGCTTCATTTGCATTACTCTAAATTAGATAAACAAGGAATGAGAAAGATATTAACAAGAGAGTACAACCCCAGCTGTACAGACACCGCAACTGATATCTGCAGACGAAGACAGGAAAGCATAAGAAAACGAGTGCGTTAATTAAATAAATTTTAATAAATAAATAAATATTATATATTATATTCAAAATAGATGTATACACCACACATACATACACACAAATATGCATATATATATATATCCATGCATGCATAACTCAAGCTGTACATACACCTGAAGTAGCTGTCTCCTTTTTTATGTTTTGTGTCTCCTCTTGGTGTAGATAATGTGCTGAGTGTTGCTTCAAATAAAGAGAAGGAGACAGAGACAGAGACAGAGACAGAGACTGTCTCTTCTTTCTCTTCTTTCTCTTGTGTCTCTTTCCGCCGTCTTTACTTCTGTCTCTCTTCTCTCTTTTAATCTTTGTCTTAATCTACTTTATTTATTTGTCTTCGAACTGCTGATAATTAAAGAAGTAGTTGTGGGGTTCTATCTGCCTCTGTCTCTTCTTTTTCTTCTGTCTCCTCTCTGCTTCATGTGTCTCCGTTTTTGTGTTTTGTTTGTTTGTCTGTGCATCCCCCTTTGCTTCTGTCTTCTTGTTTATCTCTTTGTGTGTCTCTTCACTGTTTATCTCTCTATTTGTTGCTCTATTTGCTTCCTAAGATATTAATATTATTGTATTAGTTAAATATATTCTTGCAGCTGCTTTAATGTTTAAATCCGTACAGACAAATATAATTAGCTGTCTCCTTTTGTGTCTCCTATATATTATTTGTATGCTTCATTGTTTATCTCTTTATTTAAGTTTTTATGTCTCTCTATCTGTTTTTATATGCGTCTGTACACTTGTCTCTATATATATAGTTATATAATATATATATATATATATATATATATATATAATCATGCACATATATATTTGTATTATATTATTATATCTAAAGTTATATATATAGAATTAATATATATAATTTTGTATATATATATATATATATGTATATATATATATATATATATATATGTTTGTCTCCTTCTCTGTCTTCACAATATTATTTATATGTCTGTTGATATATTTGTTTATTTATCTCTTTGTGTATATATTTATTTGCATTATGTATTTATGTTTTCTTAAGACAATTATAAAATAGCTAAAAAAATATATTTTTAAGTTTGTTTTGCTTCTGCAGGTAGTAGCGCAGAACGGTGTCTGGGTAGGAGGGCTTCTGTCTCCTTTACTTATTCATTTCTCTTTGAGACATTACGATTTAAAAACTAAATTAATTGTGCTGCCGTTTGCTGCTTATGGTGGATCAATCCTAGGCCGCTGTATTGCAGGGGGACTTGTGGGGCGCTGGAGCGAGTGGGGCAGAGACAGGGCCCTGGGATCGATCCCCGCTGTTGTTGTCTATGCAGAGCAGCGCTAACTGCTGCAGAAGACAGAAAGAAAGAGACAGAGTTATAACTGGGATCGATCGATCCCCGCTGTTGTTCTCTATGCGGAGCAGCGCTAATTGCTGCAGGAGACAGGAAGAGACAGAAAGAGACACGGAGGGCGCTGGGATCGATCGATCCCTGCTGTTGTTGTCTATTGAGAGCAAGGCACAGAAAGAGCGTTGGGATCGATCGATCCCCGCTGTTATTGCCTATGCAGATTAATGCTAACTGCCGCAGGAGACAGAAGGAGCCCTGGGATCGATCGATCCCCGCTCCTATTGTCTATGCAGAGCAGTGCTAACTGCCGAAGGAGGCAGGAGGAGACAGAAAGAGACAGAGAGAACGCTGGGATCGATCGATCCCCGCTGTTGTTGTTTGTATAGAGCAGCGCTAACTGTCGCAGGAGGCAGAAAGAGACAGAAAGAGCGCTGGGATCGATCGATCCCAGCTGTTAATGTTTACGCAGAACAGCGCTAACTGCCGCAAGAGATAGAAAGGGAGACAGCAGCAACAGAGACAGATAAACAAAGATAGATATAAAAATAAATAATAACAGAGACAGAGCAGAATGAAAGGTATAGAGAAGGCATTATTAATGCACAACGCTGTATAAACAAACAAAACGAGAAAAAAAGTAAAATCAATTTGCTGTTGCAGCTGCTGCTGAATAATGACGCTGCTTCAGCAGCAGCAGCAGCACAGCAGCACTGCTGCTTGCTCGTTGCAAGGTGTAGTAGTCACTGGCTCGTTAGGGCGAGCCGAGGGGATCCATTAGGGTTTAGGGTTTAGGGTTTAGGGTTTATATGTTGGCGAGGAGAGCCCTATCAAGCACCCACATATCATTTCTCTTTAGCAGCAAACCTACTTCGTTTGCTGCAGCAACAACAGCTTCTGGAGACACAGAAGCCTCCGCCTGCCTCACCAGCATCCTCGCGCACTTGAGAGCGTCCTGCAGCAAACCCTAAACCCTAAACCCTAAACCCTAAACCCCCAAGCCGCTCGAGGCAAGCAGCGGCTCCTGCTATTGGCCCCCATCAAACTAGATAGAGGCTTTAGGGTTGAGGGTTTAGAGACACTGAAGACCTGGAGATCCGCTAAGCAACAGCAGGGATTAGGGTTTAGGGTTTAGGGTTTAGGGTTTAGGGTTTAGCAGACAGCTTTGCATAAAGTGGGTGTTCCGGTGTTCGCGAGCAGCGCTGCGCATTGTCTGCCGAAGGCTTCGACGAGAGCTTTCATGCCTCTTCTTGGCTTTTTCTTTGCTGCAGAATATATATATATATATATTATATATATATTATATTTAAAGATTAAAAACAAACAGCCTACAGGCTGCTGCTACAAGTGCTGCAGCAGCAGCTGCAAAAGCCACAGCAGCAGCAGCAACAACAACAGCAGCATCAGCAGTACCAACTGCAGCAGCAACATGAGCAGCGTCAATTGCAGCAGCAACAGCAGCAGTAGCAGCAGCAGGAACTGCAGCAGCAACCTCAGCAGCAGCAATTGGAGCAGCAACAGCAGCAGCTGTAGTACTTGCTGCTGGTGCTGGTTTGTTTCTTACCGCTAATTGCTGCTCCTGCGAATAAGGCATTAGCTGAGGTGTCTGTACACCCCGTAGCTGCTGCTGCTTGCGTTAGCAGCACAGGCGAAGAGAAGGCTGAGTGGCTGTACACCTCAATCACATCTCGAACATCTGCTGCACACACAACATTTCGTAGCTCGCCTCGAGCCCTCGCCTGCAGCAACATATATATATATATATAGATGCAGATATAGATAAAGATAAAGATATATAGGCTATACACATGCTGCTGCTGTTGCTGCTGCTGCTGGTGTAGCAGCAGCAGCAAGCGAGAACCACCAGAAGGTGCAGCAGCAAGAGAAGCAGCAACCGCTGCAACAGCAAGAGAAGCAGCAGCAGGAGGTCAAGCAGCAGCAACAGCAGTAGCAGCACCATCAGCATCTGATACAGTTATTCTGCGGAGGTTAGTACTGGTGTGCTGCTGCTGTGGCAGCAGCAGCTGAAGCAGCAGCATATGCAGCAGCAGCAGCAATAACGGCAGCAGCAGCAGCAACAGCAGCAGCAGCAAGGTGGAAGGAGACAAACCTGACAGAGGCGGATTAAAGACTCGAGCTGCCGTGTTGCGACTCGCAATCCCTGCTGCTGCTGTTGCTGTTGCTGCTGCTGCTGCTGCCGCAGCGTGAAGAAGTAGGTCTTAATAACTGCTGCTGCTTCCGGAGACAGCTTCGGGTGTACGTGCTCCCTAGCGTAACAAATGAAGTCTTGCACTAGAGATAGCGGCAGCAAATCAGCAGACTGCAGCAGCAGCAGCAGCAACAGCAGCAGTAGCAACAGCAGCAGATGCACCACCCCACGCTGCACTGCACAGACACCCCAATGCTGGGAGAGAAAACAGCAAAGAAACAGTGCAGCAATGCCAGCAGCAGCAGCAGCAACAGCAGCAATAGCAGCAGCAGCAACAGCAGCAGCAACAGTTATAGACATACCTCCGCTGCAATGAGTCTCTCCTCCAGACACGAGCTGACGCTTGAAGAAGAGCCCTCCCTAGCAGCAGCATCAGCAGCAGCAAATCCTCCCCCTCCCGCTGCTGCTGCTGCTGCTGCTGGTTGCTGCTGCTGCTGCTGCTGCTGCTGCTTGGTGTTTCGGGAGGCAAGGATATGCGCAGCAAGTTGTGCGTCTGCTGCTGCAGTTTGTTTGTCCGCCAGAAAAAATATTAAATCAAATCGAGATAAGACGGGTGCAGACAAATTCAAATTCTCTACAAATGATTTACGGGGGCTGCATGCACACAGCAGCAGCAGCAGCAGCAGCAGCAGCAGCAGCAACAGCAAAAGCAGCAGCAAAAGCAGCAGCAAAAGCAGCAGCAACAACAACAGCAAAAACAGCGGCAACGACAACAGCAAAAACAGCGGCAAAAGCAGCAGCAAAGCAGCAGCACAGAAGCAGCAAATAGCAGAAACAAAAGCCGCAGCCAAAGCAGCAGCAGCAACAGCAGCAGCAACAGCAGCATTGGCAGCGGGAGCAGCAATAAGAGCAGCAGGACAATCCAGCAGCAACAACAGCGGCAGCAGCAGCAACAACAGCGGCAGCAGAAACGGAGGCAGCAGCAACAGCAGCAAGATCAGCAGCAGCAAAACAGCAGAATTAAGAGATGAAGGCTTCTTTATTGTTTGCGTTATGTTGCACATTTAAAAGCTGGCAAACCCTAAACCCTAAACCCTAAACCCTAAACCCTAAACCCTAAACCCTAAACCCTAAACCCTAAACCCGAAAACCCTCAACCAAGGAAAAGGAAAGACATCTTTGAAGGCAGCAGCAGATACAGAAACACGCGATCAGCAGCAGCAGCAGCAGCAATAGAAGCAGCAGCAGCAGAAGTAGCAGCCCTAGTACTAGCAGCAGCAGCAGAAAATAGCAGCAGCAGCACTACTAGCAACAGCAGCAGTAGCACTAACAGCAGCAGCAACAGCCCTACTAGCACTAGCAGCAGCAGCAGCAGCAGCAGCAACAGCAGCAGCAGCAGGAGGGAAACCTACTCGAGTCTGCCGCCTTTAGGGTTAGCAGCAGCCAAGACAGTTGTTCTTGCGGGGAGACAGCAGCAGCAGGAGGCCTTTGAAATGGAGACAGTTTGCTGCTCCATTGCTTCAATAAGAGACGCACAGTCTCCTGTTGCTGCTGAAGCAGCAGAAAACTTATCAAGCTCATCAATGCAGCACACCCCTCCGTCTGCCAGCACTAAAGCACCTGCAGCAGCAACAACAGCAGCAACAGAAGCGACAGCAGCAGCAGCGAAAACCGCAGCAAAACAGCAGCAGCAGCAAATGCAGCAGCAGCAGCAGCAAACACAAAACCAGCATACACTTCAAATGTCTGTAGACCCTTCAGCTACCAATACACTTCAACTGTCTCTTCACGCAGCATGTATAAGCTGTCTATACACCTCAGCTGCCTATACACCTGAGATGTCTATACACGTGAGGCCTCTATACACCTGAGATGCCTATACACCTGAGATGCCTATACAGCTGAGATGTCTCTATATCTGAGGTGTCTGGGCAGCTATAAATATGTAGAAATG